CAAAGATGAAATTAGGTATGGGATTGGCGGATGAAATTCATAAAGAATTTAGAAAAACTAAAAACTTTTTAAAAGTCAAAGTGTTTGAAAAAGATGAAATGTGGTCAGCCGATTTAATTCATATGCCAGTCGAAAGAGGATTTAAATATTGCTTAACAGTTATAGATTTATATACGAGATATGGGTTATTCCTTTGAAAAACAAAACGGGATTATCAGTCAAACACGCATTTGAAACGATTATGAAACAATCTAACCGTCATCCAGAAAAACTATGGGTAGATAAAGGAAGTGAATTTTAAAACAAAAATATGAAATCTCTGGGATTTGAAATTTACAGTACGCATAACGAAGGTAAAGCTGTAGTTATTGAAAGATTTAACAGGACTCTAAAAAATAAATTATTCAAAAAGCTCACGGAATTGAAATCTCAAAAATGGCTTAAAATATTACCAGAGGTTGTAGATGAATACAATAACAAAATTCATGCGTCTATAGGTGTCACACCAACACAAGCCTCGAGTAATCCAAATATTATAAAGTCAATTAACGCGCAACGTAACTATGAAATAAAGAATTTAAATATCAAACCCAAATTTAAAGTCGGAGATCGAGTTCGTATTTTCAAATATAAAAGTAAATTCGAAAAAGGTTAAGTTGGATACTGGACGAACGAAATATTTATCGTTGATAAAGTAAACACCACATCACCTCCAACATATGAATTAATCGATCAAGACAAAGAACAAATCATAGGTAGGTTTTATCAAAACGAACTTCAAAAAACCGACTTTTAAAAATGAATGAATTTCTCGATAAATATGGAACCGATACAACCACAAACTTTCAACTTATGAGATGGGCTAATGAGTTAAATATATCACCGTTTTATTATTGTATGAGAGATGAAATAAATAATCTCAAATATAAGAAAGGTAAATTTTACGCTATAACAAATATACATACTTCCGATCAAAAAGGAGTTCATCATTCTGCTTTGTACAAAGACTCTGACTTTTATTTCTTCGATTCTTATGGATTAGAACCCACTGAAGAGATAATCCAATTGACTAATAAACCAATCAAATGTTCAATATTTCAAATTCAATTACCGGGACAAAAGTTTTGTGGTCAGCTTTCACTTTGGGTTTTATATCAGTTGAGTTTAGGAAAACAGTTTGAAGAAATTGTAATAAATTTAACTCAATAAAAATGGCGAATAAGTTTGGATTAGGTTCTTTACCTTTAGAAACCAAAAAACCTAACACTACAGCGTGGATAAATAAAGCGAAACCTTACTTCCTGGATCAAATCGGTGACACTCTTCAAGGTGATTTAGATATGAACAATTTTAGCATAACTAATTTAAAGTCTCCGGAAAACGATAATGATGCCATTCACAAGAAATATTTAATGGAACAATTAAATTTAATTGAAGTAAATAAAGAACATTTAAAAGAAAGAATAAATGATGTGAAAAGATTCTTCAAACGACAAATAAATAATAAAGATTATATTGATGATACTAAATTACAACAAGAAGTAACAAGTTTAAAAAATTTTATTCAACAACAATTAGTCAATGTAGTAGATAAAACTAAGTTACAAACTTTAAGTTCATTAATATCTAATTTAGATGATAAGATTACAAAGCAAAAAATAGATCTTAAACAACTATTAGCCAATATTAATCCAGATATAAGTGAAGACAAATTACAACGGGAATTAACTAAACTTAACAGTGAATTACAAAAAGAACTAACAAATATTCTACAAAACATAGATATTGTTATTCAACAACAAAACATAGATGATAGCGAAATCAAAACCTATATTCATCAACAAAAACAGAACATTGATGATAGTGTTATTCAACAACAGATAACCACTATTAATAACCTAGTTTTAAAACAGGATAAAAATATACTCGCATTAGAAAAGCAACTCAACCAAGAAAATAAATCATATTATTTCAATCTTCCATTTAGATATTTGAGAGATTACGAAGCTTCTATTACTGATAATAGTGATAAATCAAAAGACAATGAATATAAAAAATTTGGATTTACAGCAAATATAAGAGTATATAAACAAAGTACTGGTAATCCCCATAGAATGTTTAGCGATGTTTTTTCTGCTTTAATTTTCCGAGGAAAACTTATAATTAAAATAACTTTCCCTTTTCAAGTAAAAGTTGATTCAATAGTCTTCAGACAAAACTCACGTATGTCTAATAAAAAATTTAACGCTCGTAAAGTTCTTCAGTTTATCAATGGTACAGAAAATGTAGAAACTAAAGAATTAGAAATTAACGATGAAAACAACAAGGTTGATCACTTATGTGAAATTAAAACGAGTGGAAAATATATAGATAGGTTTAGAATGTTAATCATACCAGATAATGAAGAAGATTTTCTTACTTTGACTCATTTTGATATGTTATTGGAGACGGAAACTCCACCATCAATGAATATTATTAGAAATCCAGAAACACAAAAAGGAGGAAATATGAGTTATGAGTTTTTACGAACGACAGACTTTGAATACGTAAAACTATATTTTGTTGATAATGGTAAATTTACCTCAATTGATATTCATAAAAGTCAACAAAATAAAGAATTTATAATAAGAGATGATGTATTTGTTAAAATATTTGTCTCTATTGAAAAACCAAAATTTTCAGTTCATCTGAATAAAATTAATGATTCGAAAGAACAAATATCGTTAGTAACTGTAAAAGTTTTTATTGAAGATAGTAAACACAAAGTATTTTTATCAGAAGTTCACTTAATTTAATTACCTAAAAATGGAACTCGAAAGTAGACAAAACTATATGATAGAAAAACAAAATGAACTAAAAGAAAAACTAAAACAATTCAACAAATTCAGAAAAACATAGAGTAAAATCGATTCTGTTTTCAAAACATTAAGTACAGTTTTAACGATAGGGATAACGGTGGCAACAGCCGTAACCGGTGGATTAATGCTTCCGATCATCGTCCCAACTGTATTAGCCGCGTTCACTGCCGTTCAAACTTCATCTTGTGGTTTGATTACTTTAGGTTTTACATCAAAACAGAAAGCTCATTATAAAAGGAAAACAAAAATTTTAAATACATATCTTAATAAATTATTCATATTTTTCGAAAGATTGAGAGAGGATAAGAACATAACCATTGAAGAATTAGAAGAATTCAATGAAATTTTAGATAAATTTGATGTAGAAATATCATCAATAAAAGTTAAAATTCCTAGTTAAAAATAGTTGCTTTAAAAATATGAATAAAATTGATAAATTTATATTAAGTGATCTTTTTTCCAATGTTATTGAGCATATCTCTGACGAATTTCATACATTTAACGGACAAATTGAATTAGATGGAGAGATAACTTAAGATGGAAAATACATACAAGACATAAAATTTGTAGGTTTTGATACCATGACTTTTGTCGATTTCTTCCTTGCGCTGGATAAAAAATAGAATGTCTCCGATTGCTATTTCACAGGAAAAATGATTTTCCATAAAAACAATTTCAAAGAGTAGTGGTGATCAAAGCTCATTATAATTTTAAATTATTCATTTTTTTTCGAGACAAGAAAAATTCCTAGTTAAAAATAGATACTTAAAAAAGACTGGATAAAATTGGAAATTTAAACGAACCATTATCTAAAACATATTTTTCATTGATGTTCAATTCAATACCTAATATATTTTCAACCAAATTTAGTGAAAAAGATAAAGAAGAATTTGAATATATAATTGATGATGTAGCTGAAGTTTTTAAAAAAGAGGAGAATGAAATTAAAATATCAACCTCAATTATGCTTTTTTCAGAATTAATCAAGAGAATAACTATTCTATTTAAGGATTATAAAATTGAAGGCCAAATTGAAATAAATGGTCAAATAAATCAAGATGGAAAACACAAACAAGACATGAGATTATCTGGATACAATGCTCAAACTTTTCAGTTTATTTATTCAAAGATGCATGAAAGCTCTGATACATCTGATTGGTATTTTACAGGAGAGATTATTTTGCGCAAAAATAATTTTAGAATAGTAGAAAGATCAAAAAAGGGAAGTGGGGTTAACCTACTTAAAAAGATAAATGAATACATAGGAAAAAATTGTTACATACCAACCGATTGTTATTGTTTTATAAAGTGTGTAAATTACATCACGAACACGGATTTAACAAAGGAATTCTTTCAAAAATCAAACAGAAAAAGGAGTTATGACAACTGCTAGAATCTCTCAATTCAATAAGAAATTTAATACTAATTTTCAAATCTATAACCCTAAAGACAGTCATTTTCAACCAAAGAAAGTATTAGAGGAATTTGATTGGGTATTTTATTTACACAAAGAACATTTCTGTTTGATAAGAAGAAATAACAAAGCTTTGGGCATTAAAGAAATAGAAGAATGGAAAACTTGTAAAGATGATGACGCGGCAATGTGTTTCGCACAGTTAAAACTAAACGTTTTTTCGAACATATCCGATAACTGTTTATACGCTTGGGATTGCGAAACCTATTGCGAAAAAGAAACGAATAAGTCCATTCCTTATTGTTGTACTTTAGTTAATTTAGAAAAACTGAGGAAAAGATTAGATGATTATAATAATTACTTAAGTGATTTAAGTGAGACTCTAGATTTTAAGCCGTCAGATCCCATTACAGAATAATATTACAACATACTCATGACTAATATAGTAGAAATATTTGTAGGTACAGATTGTATAGATCAAATGTTACAACGTTTAGGAAAAGTAGATCAGAAAAGACTAACCTTAATTTCTCATAACGGTAGCGGTTTTGACAACTGGATTGCACTTCAAAACGTTAAAAAACTAACACAATGTCCACTAGTAGTAGATAATAAAATTCTTTCTCTTCCTTTATCTAATCCATATACAGAAGAAAGATTGCAGAAAAATGGAAAAGACAGAAAGAAATAATGAGTAACTCTAACTATTTACAAAATATATCTTTCACTTGTTCATTTAAACATCAAAGCACTAGTTTGGCGGCCTGGGGAAATTCATCTAATCTACCGATGTTAATATTGCAAAATTCACCAAAGAAACCTGGGAATCTTTAAGACCCGAATGGAAATCTTACGCTAAAAGAGATACGCTATGTCTCGGAGCTTGTTTGATAAAATACAATCAAGCCATGAAAAAAACTGTCTTACAAAACGTTTCCAATAATCTAACAGCTCCTTCTTTATATTTAAAGGGTTGGTATTATTTATATCATTACGATAAAGAAATGGTTGAAGAAGAATGGTATGAAACTACTAGAATGGTTCCGAAACACACCCAAAAAGAAAACGTAGAAAAAGTTTACTCGCATACTCATCCTTTTATAAGATATATCATCAGACAAAGTATTAAAGGAGGAAAAGTTTCGGCAAATCGAAAATCATTTGAAACGGATAAGATGAATGAGATCTGCGCCATATTAAAAGAATACAATGAAAGTAACACTGAAGGAATAATAGATTTATTCAAAGAATACAGTGTTAACCCAAAAGAACTCAAACTCAAAGAACTGGACTATTCTAAACTGATGGCATTTGACGCTAATGGGTTGTACGCTTCCGCCATGACAGAAGGTGAATATCCTAAAGCGGAAAGTGCAAGAGCGTTTCTACCAGAAGAAGAAAAAGAATTTGTAAAACTCTTCAATAAACAAAAATTCAGACCTAGAACTGATATTTTAAAAGTTTGGTTTGAGTATCCCAAAAACATGTTCTTTCAACCCATACCAGCTAAAGATAAAATAACTTTTACGAATAGAATAGGTAAGAAGGAAACTGGGAGTAAAATCAGGTTCAGAAATGGTTTCTGTCACGACGTTTTAACATCAGTTGATATTCAAGAAATAGTGAAATCTGGTGGTAAAATTATTAGAATATTAGATATTATAGTTTACGAAGAAAATTTTACAAACTCCACCATACAGAGATTATATTATAATTTTGAAGGAATTAAGGAATAAATACAAAAAAAAGGAGATATGGTTGCTAGTAATTGCATGAAATTATTAGGTAATTCCTTATACGGTAAATCTATTCAGAAGGATATAAATACATCGAGACATCTATGGAGTGAAGCGACTTTTAAAGCCGTCTTCGATTCACACGTCAAAAGCTATGAAAAAGTAAATGATAGTCAATATATCGTTCAGATTAATGACGAAGTAAAAGAGTTTGTTCCTCCAAAGGATTTTACTAGATTAACACCCACTCATTTAGGTGCATTTATATTATCTCACAGTAAAAAATAATGAACAATTTCATTCACGTAATAGATGGATTTTATAAGCCGGAAATATACTATACAGATACCGATAGTTTATACATTTCGTCTAGTAATTGGGATAAATTAAATGAAGCTGGGTTGGTGTCTGAAAACGAATATAGCAAAGGGAAGAATGATTACGGTGATGGTGGAATCATATTTGGTTTATATTTAGCGCCAAAAGTAAAATACAATATCATTCTAACTTCTGATGGTGTTTTAAAAGGGTTTAAGGGTTACTCTAACTATAAGATTAAGGTAGAAGACTACGTTCAATTAGCTAGTGGACATGACGTAACGAATGAATTTGATAAACCTTGGGTAAAAAGTTTTACTGATGGAATAGTTATTCCTAATGAAAAACA